GAGAGAAGGACAGAAGGCTTGGGTTACTCCCCCAAGCCTACATGAGGTTCCAACCCAGGAGGTGAAATCTGGGAAAGAAGCATTTGGAAGGGAGTGGTAAGATGTTGAAGACATGTCCTGATAATTCTGATACTGCCTAAGCACTGCCTGGTACCAGAAATCTTGACCTAAGAGCGACTAGAATTGGGTAATGCCTGGTTCAGTGAAAATGGCCCAAAATGGCAACAATCATCATAATAACTTCCATTTATCAAGCACTGTGCTGAGCATTTACTATGCACTATGTCTTTTAATCCTATCAACAATGCTGTGAAGTTGATTTTATTCTTCTTTTGTAGGTGAGGAAACTGAGGCTCAGAGAAATAAAGAAACTTTTGTAAGCCATATGTTTAGTCAGTGGCTGAGCTGAGTTTTGAGCCCAGAGCATGTCTTCTGCTGACTAGGGAATGGACATCACTAGTAGTGGGGTCCTGGGTTTGAGTTCCCACCGTGAAAGCACAGTGGGACCTTCTGTAAGCACTGAACACTCTAATTATCAGCTTCCTGTATTAGAATTCATAGCTTTCATATGATTTACACTGTCTTAGGTGCATTAGAGTTTGCAAAGTGCTTTCTAACAAATCTTTTAATTTTATCCTTACATTAATTCTGAGCAATATCAAACATAATACCTATGATGTAAGTTTGCTTTATTATTAGGCCTATAAAATTATTTTAATTTATTGGCTTCTTAACTGAGTTTCCAGTCACTTGACTCCTTGAGTATATTTTGAATTTTTTATCACGACACACTGTAAGTGTCCCTAGAGATATCTAGATATCTTTTAGGATTTCCATGTATAAAATGAAATTGGGTTGTAACCCTTATATTTGGGGCTTACTCATCCTTGGCCAGTAACAAGTACTTTTCTTGCCCAAAGCTAAGAAGGCCCAAACAAAAATCTTCTCTTTTTTTTTTTTTTTAAAGGAAGAGGTGACTTACTCCATTTTACAGATCATGAAACTGAGGTTTATAACGTTATGAAGTTGGAATAATGGGAAAATATATAAGGGAGAACTATTACTATGGAAACATTTTGAGGCAATATTTACTAGGTTTTACTTACATTGCTGTTTTTTTCCTAGGTAGAAGAGAAGGTATTTAAAATTTTGTTGAAAAGTAGAAAAGGACACGCCCTTTTCCTACTTTTCGAAACTAATACATCAGAAACACTGAACTAAGTTTGTCCTTGCTTGTAGATGCTCTCCTGCTTCCACCCCAATGGGCATTAATGACAAGATGATCTCTCCTGCTGTGTTCTTTCCACAGTCACTCTCCTGTTAAAACCCAGCCACGCTGCACTGCACAGGCTGAAGGTTCTCAACATTTTCCTTTTCTAAATTCACTTCATTCTTTGAAATACTAGAATTATTTGTTGTGTGCTGGGAGGGATTAAAAGACCCACACAAAACTACCCACCAGTCACGACCTCACATTGCCATGTAGCAAGTGGTCGTGTGGCCCTCACAAAGGCAGCCACTGGCAGTGCGGCATCCTCATCCTCTTGGCCATCTTTTGGCGCTGTGTTGAGGTTTGGGCACAGTGCTAGGGCCACACCTCCCTGCTTTAGAGGAAAAGTTCCCTTGGGTTCCCGAGTCACACCAATCTCCAGTGCTTGCCGACTTGGCCCGCCCCCCTTTATAGCTGCAAGCTGTAGACCTGCTTTATACTGCCTTGTGCAACTCTCTCAGCTTGGATTCTGTCACAAAGGGATGTTGCTTTCGATAGCTTTCCTCAGTGGTAGCACGACTATATTTTTCACGTTCATGAAATTGAGCAGGCGCTGCAAGCTGGCGACCACAGCACACCTGCTAAGAGTCACTTCCAGAGCGCAGGCCTCGACCCCTCCCCACCTGTAGGCACCCTCTGCTCCTGCCAGAGGGCTTTTGCTCAAGGTACTCCCTACCTGGTTATCTCCTCCTTCTGAGCTCCCAACTACGTTTCAAGATTTGGTTTAATCTTCCTGCCTGCCTGGAAGCTTTCCTAGTGACTGCTGCCGCCAGCAGTCTCCTGTTCTGACCTTCTGTGCCAGCTTTTCTTTGTACACCTTACTTGGTGCCTGCATGTCACAGCCTGTGTGTGTACCTTCCCGTGTCAACAAAATCACCATTGCCTTGAGGGCCAGGCCCATGGATTATATTTTCTGTCCATCATAGGACCTGCCATACTGCTTTTGGGCATAACAGGTACCCAGAAATCTAAGTCTAACAGCTACTTCAGATTGTATAGAGATTCTTTCCTATATGAGGCATTACCAGGACAGCTGTTTAAAAACAACCTATTGTGTAATACAGCCAAAAAGTGCAGGTGAGCTTGGGCTACGGGGAATTATTGCAATATAATATTGTTCTCTTTTCAAGATATTCTTGTGGAGCTCTGCTCAGCTTTGTTTCCTAAGATTAATTGCTGAATTCAACCCTGTGGCACATTGGGTGCTGCCCAGAGAACTTTTGCTGTTTTCTGGATGAACAGTCCTCCGACTCCTCCCTCCGTCCTCTGGATTACCGGCAACGGGTGGAAGGAGCTGGTTTGGGGCAACATTGTGACATGTGGATTCCTCGTGCATATTTAAGAATTTGGCAGAGAGCACAGGCTGCTTATATGAGATTTAAAAGAAAATAGCTTTTAAGGGTTTCGGGGGTATGTGTAGGAAGGATAGGTCAATATTGCCATAAAAGGATAATCTTTGTAAAATTAAATATGCCCATTGCCTGCATTTTCTAGCCACCCCCCCGCCCCCAATTTTCCTATCACATGAGAATTTGGCCCACTGTGTCTATTGGATTACCACATGTTACTACTATTGAGAATCTACTCTTTCTGTTGGTGTTCAAATTTCTTGCAAAACCAGCTGTCCTCGTAGCTTTTCTCATATGGTGGTGTCAGGCCTGGGTAGATTATAATGCACAGGGAGACTGAGAAATTTTTCCATTCTTTCCCAGACCAAGTAAATCACAATCTCTGGCTTTGGGTCTAGGGCATGGGTATTTTTTAAAAACACTCTCAAAGATTCAAATGTACATCTAAGTGTGAGAACCCTGGTCAAGCTCCCTGTGATCTCAGCTGGAGCTTGCTGGAAAGTGCCTGCTTGGTGGTGCACAGCTATATTGATTTTGCCTGACTCGGTGATTACTTCTGCATTTTCTTTTTTACAGAAATTATATGAGAAGAAACCTAGGAGAAGAGATAATTAGAGGGGTTTGGGATTTATCCTAGAGCTCCTCCTTGAGCAAAACAAATAGACACAGGCCATTAGTTGAAAGTCTAATAATGTCTTATGCTGAGGCTTATGCTTTGTAAAAATCGTCCATGCATTTGAAATAATAGCGTGCCCAAGTGCCTGTTAAACAAATTGTTTATTTGATTTGCTGTTTTCTCAAAAAATATAAGGAGTGGGGGGAGGGACGGTCTTAAAATTATACACAGTCCCACCCCAGTTCTCAAATGTCTCCCATTTCAAACAATTAGGTTCTCAAACAGCCTTCTGGAATGAATTAAGTCCCACTGTACAGAATCTAGAAAAAAAAAAGGCTGAAATCACTTACATGATTCATTAAGCCCTTCACCTATGAGAAGGATAAGTGAACTGAGGTTCAGATTAAAACAATTTTGTGAGGATTTGTCTCAAAAAAGGAGGGAAAGTTGCATTGTGATTCCACCTAAACTGCGTTGTGATTTTCACCCCCTCAGCTCAGACCTGAGGAGGAGACTTCCAGCAGACATCCAGAGAGCTAACAATGTGACCCTGTGGGTAGAGGGGCTTGGTAGACTGGAGTCTGTCACCCAATCCTCTGTCCCCTCTGAGATATCAAAGGAGCCAGCGAGATGGGATGGTAAGCAGCTGCCACCTCTGATAATCACACTGCCCGCCTCTCTCATGGAATGTAGAGCCTAGTGACCAAATGTGGAACCAATGGCCTGGACTAATTCCACTGTGATTCAGCCAGTGTGAGGAGACCATGCAATAAATGGCCGTGCAGTGATACACAGGTGGGGGCTGAGGTGGGGGGGCCTCGGGGGCAGCAGCTGAGGGTGTTGGGAGTGGGCAGCCAAATGAAAGGCATTGATAAGTCACCAGTGCCACAGTCAGAGGGACCCAGAAGGGAGTATCCAGAGGACCCCAAAAGATACATACAATAGAAAACGTCAGCTTTAAATGTCTGCCAACACCAGAAGGAATAGCACTCTCTTACTATACTACTTCTCAAGTAGGAGTTTTCCTCTCTCTTACTTCCTTCCCCTTGCAGCTTCCCTCCTGGGTGGGATGCAGGTCAGAAACAGACGTGGGTAAATGGGAGGGAAAGAACTGAATACAGAAGATATTAACCAGACCCCTTTCTGGTAAGGTGAGGGAGCAGGTGGCCGCTGGCCCAGATCAGGGAGGGGCATGTGGAAGAGAGAAGTCTCAATTTTGAAGGAGGATTGATCTGTTGATTACTGTATCCAACTTGACACTTTTAAATAATGAACTGGGATTGCAACTGTGATGTAAAATGACAGCAGATTTCTTTTCTTTTTTAAATCTAATAATGAAATCAAAGTAAAATTCAGGGTTAAGAGAAGGACCTGGACAGTTTTAAAGAGACAATGGGGAAAAGCAAGATTCTGTGATTAAAGCTCGGGAATCCTACTTAGTTATTGTGCCGGTTACAGCAAAGGGTTATCGAGGAGAAAACCCAGCAAGTTCCAGAGCAGACGCAGCCAGAAGATGGCTTGGGGTGACACAGCCTTTGATTGTTTCCATCAGTATCTGGAAGCACATTTCCTACAGAAGGACCAAGCTCTACAGGTAGCGACAGTTACCAAAGAGGGGTCATTTTAAGGGCTACACAGAGGAACAATTTTCAAATACCAGGAAGAGTTAAGCATTTGTTTAATGCATTATATTAGTCAGGGCAGACTAACTGTTCTCATAAACTATCTCAAAATCAAAGTGACAGTAAAAGGTTTCTCATCTCACCCTGTAGTCCAGTGTTGGCTTTAGTGGGGGTGGGTCCTCTGCTGCATAGTCACTCGGGGACTGTGAAGTCACACACCTTCTATTCTGGGGTTTTGGTTTTCTCTAGGTCTTTTTGTTGGCTTCCTCCAGCTACAGACGAAGAGAGGGCATTCAGGGTCACTGAAGGTGCCAGGAATGACTTCTACTCACATTCTGTTGGCCAGAGTCAGTCACGTGAACCCACCTCCCTTCAGGGGAGGCTGGGAAATGCATAGGAACTGTGTGACCAGGAGGCAAAGGAAAAATGGGGTGGGGAGGCTTAACAGGGTGTCTCTTCTTGCACCCTTTATGAAAAGGATAGCCCATCACATTCTTGACCTCACAGATACACAGTATTGGAGCTAAGAACTGTAATTCACTTCCTGCCAACCACATGACTCACTGAAGGCAGGCTCCTGAGGGGAAAGAGGAGGAGGGGTGGTGAGAATGACTCCTGACAAGGACACTGAAGGATGTGGTAGGGAAAAATGCCATCATGTAAACGCCGAGTGATTCCGGTCTATCCAACCTCCATCCTCTTCTGCCTAGGACACAGCAAAGGAGAAACAAAAACAAATTAAAACACTCTTTCCCTTCAGGACATTTCATTCTAATCGATTTGAAAATGAAGCCATTTAAAATGAAGCTTTAATTATTGAGTTATCATCAACAGTTATATTTTGCATGAGAAAAAATACAATTTTCTGGAGTGCATTTTCATAAATCAATTGGTTATTATTCTTCGTATGTCATTTTCATTTTAAAACTTAAAATATTATCCACTGATTGTTAGCAGTTATTTCTTGGGCAAGGAAATTACAATTTTCAGGTGTGAATTGTTGTTAATGAGTTGGTTGTTATTGCTTTGTATTTCATTTTTGTTTATATCATAATTATACTGTGAGACTATTGACTTTTTCCACTGCCTTTTTTGTTATGGTCTCTTTCTATATTTGGGGTGGGTCAGAGCTGACTTTAGAGCCAGGTCACCTGGGACAGATTCCAATCCATCCCTCACTGGCTGCCTGAGTTGGGGCAAATTTCTTAATTCCTCCATGCCTCAGTTTTTCACCTAAAAATGTCAGCAATATGAGTACCTGGCTCATAGGATTATTGTGAGAATTCTATGAGTTAATATTTATTGAGCACTTATAATGGTGCCTGGCATATACTGAGTGTTATGTTGGTTTTTGTGTTGATCTTTGACAAGATTATTTTCCTTCGGTACTTAATTTTCCTTTCACAGTGGTGATGTAGTTTCCTTCGAGCTTAATACTTTAAATTAAAATACAGTGATCCCTTTAAAAGAGAATCATTAATAAATAAGAGCACAAGTCGGAGACTGCTGTGGCCAGAACTGTGCTGTTGGCACTCGGATTATGCAGGTGCTAACCTACTGCGCCCTGTGGTGATGGGTGGCTTCCTCACGTCACCAGGCAGTGGATCTGGCTTGGAGCTGTAAATCAGTCAGCAAAGAATGAAAGCCTTTTTCTGAGAGTGAGTACGGTACTTTGCTACAGTACTGTTGAAACAAAACCAGCCTAAAACTGGTACTCAAAGAGGCTTGGTTTCTGAGCAAGTTGAGACATAAAAGCATAAAGACGGGGAATGAATATCACCTGTTTACTGCCAGAAGCCAGGAGGAAGGTGTTGGCCTTGGTCCGCTAGCCACGAGGGTTGCTAACGGTTAAACCCTGAGATAGGCAGCAGGTGGCACCCGCTGGGGCTGGATTCCCCCGGAGGAGGGGGCCTACCTGCCCCAGGGAGCCCTGGGCAGAAGCAGCAGAGAGAACCAGTGTCTGCCTGCACAGGTGCTCTTTCCACCAGGGTGTCACCAGGATGGTGTGAAAGTGGACCAAAACAAAATTGTAAATTTACTTAAAGCATTATGACTTTTTGTGTGATTACGTGTTTCAGTGTATTTAATGTGTGGCCCAAGGCAACACTTCTTCCAGTGCGGCCCAGAGACGCCCAACGGTTGGACACCCCTGCAGGGAGGAGTGAGCTGAGCAAGCGGGTCCTCTCCATTCCCTCAGTTGTGGGGGCAGGAAAGTGGTTTCCCTCTAATGAAGCTTCAGACCGTTGGAGCACTCACTGTTTGGCCTCCTCTGTAATCTAATGACTTAGGATGTCTGCCCCGCTCTTTCTAGTATTAACTTACTACACTCAACCTTGCTCACTGGAGTGTTCTCCACAAGTTTGTCATTTTTCCTTGGATCCTGGTGAGCTTCTGCTTCTCCACCCACAAACAACCAGCAGAAAGGACAATGTGTTTCCTCTTTATGAGGAAGGAAAAAAAGGTAGCGGAGCCATTACTTTAAAAAACAAATCAGTTCGTGGCTGATCTTAGTTGCTATCACATGTGTGTGAGTGGGGGGTGCTGGGTGTGTGTGCACAGATAGGAGGTAAGTTTGGCTGTTTTCTGGCCCTTGCAAATCTAAAAGAAATTATACATTCAGCCAACTCCCAAAATTGTTCCTGAGCCTTTCTAGAAATGCAGGTAAATCTTTGAAATGGGACATAGTAGTCTTTCACTGTTAATTTTACAAAGTGCCAATAATCAATCTTTCACACCTTTTAAGATATGCTTATGTTATTTATTATACAAGGCTATTAATTTTTAATGAATGTTCCTAGATTTTCAACTAGAAAAAGTGTGTGTACTTTTCTGAAGCTGGAAAACCATTACATAGAGTTATTTACTTACACTTTGTTCTTACTATCAGACAATGAAATAATGTCATATTTTTGCAAGCTGTTTAACCGTAGTTATAAGTAGCAATTCCCCATAAGACCAAGTGGAAAACAGTGTTACTTTTTCAAATGTTTACTTTGGAAATGAAAACACTAAATATTGCTGTATGCAAAATTACTTTTGCAACATGGGAATTTTGATTAAAAAATATTTTCTCTATGTAGCCCAGTGGTAACATATATTTTCAAGATTCTAATGACACAAGAAACATTCATAAATCAGTAAGTATCTAACATAATAATATTGTACTCTATGTGGACTTAGGAATATCACTTCCCATGTCTATTTTCTACTTGCCTGGAGAAATAGAGATCTTGACATTTTATTAAATAAAGTCTTTCAAGCTCTTTGGGATGAAGAGTATGCTGCCCTTTTATTCTTTTGAGATTATGATTTTTATAATTTGTTAAGAATAACTTTTGACTTAGGCCGGTCCATTATGTTGAAATAATTACAAATTTGGAGATATGACTGGCATGCCTTTGGGACACAGTATTTTCATGTCCTTTGTAATGTCAAAATGTCCTTGATCTTGCAGTGACAGGCTGGCATCTTCATTTTTAATGACCAGGCTGTGAGGCATTGTCAACCCTCTTGTGGAGATCGCCATTTCATTGTTCTGGTTAATATCAGGTTTTAAAAAATGCAGCTGTATTTTAGTTGTAGGACCAAACATTTATGTTGCTGGTAATGAACAAAACTTTTGAAGATCAAGATAGAAGTACATAAATTCTAGGAAATATGAATTTGCTTTCCCACTTTTTTGGTAAGACAATGGAAGAAGAGATAGAACCAAGTATACCAAAAAGAAAAACTACATTTTGAAAGAATAAAGTTGTAATTTAGGAAAAGTAATTTCAAAAAATATTTTATTTGAGCAGTGCATAGTCAATATGGAAAATATGGATAATGCAGAAAAATAGAAAGAAAAATTTTAATCACTGAGCTGCTCTACCACCCAAAGACAATGTGTTCACAATTCTATGAATGTTCCAAACCTTGTTTTCCACAGCTCTTTCTTTTTACATTGTTGCAAAATTACTATAACACTATCTGGTTGATTTTTTCATTTAATATAACAGCATAGGCAATTCAGAGATTATCACAATTTTTTCCCATTGGCTACATTATCTATTATCAAGCAGTAAAATAACAATTATTTCATTCTTATAAGTATGATTGATACTCCGATACTGAGTTTGGGGAGTTTATCCTCCTGCCTAGTTTATTCTCTAATCCTCTTTGCTTAATTTGTTAAACAAAACTAAGACATTGGTCTTTTACCAATGAAAGTCCTACTGTTGGCTGAGTAGGATTCCCAAGTTCAGTAGACAGAGCAGCATAAAAATCAGATGGCAACAATTGTAATTATATTATTTAATATTGGAACGAATATGTGCACATTTCTCTCTAAAGTTGATTTGTTCAGATTCTGTAGCAGCTGGATTCCAGGAGAAATGGAGACATTGTTTCCTAAGGTGTGTGCTCTGGCAAGGAAAACTAAAATACATGAAGTGGGACTATTTTAAACCCAGGAACAAAGGAAACAGTTGATAAATAAAAAAGGCAGCCCACTGAATGGGAGAACATACTCACAAACCATATATCAGTAAGGGGTTAACAAGAAAATATATAAAGAATTCATATGACTCAATAACAAATACAAAACAAAACCCAAACAACCAAATTAAACAATGGGCAGAGGACCTGAATAGACATTTTCCCAAAGAAGACATACAAATGGCCAACAGCTACATGAAAAGATGATCAACTTCACTTACCATCAGGGAAATACAAACTGTCATGTCAAAACTATAATGAGATATCACCACACGTCTGTAAGGATGGCTGCCATACAGGGTGCACACAAATATTGCCCCCTTTTATTACAAAATCTTTTATTACAAAATCATAAGCATGTAATTCTATAATATAACAATATCACACTCAAGCACGCTATATGACATTTTAGGTGAAATGTTCAAATAAAAACTATAAATTATTACTCTCATATTATTGCCCCGCCAACCACACTCAAGTAGGCGTCACTTCTGCCAGGCCCTGTGTGTAAGACAAGAGGCAGCAAAAGCTGGTGAGGATGTGGAGAAAGGGGAACTCATATACTGTTGGTGGGAATGTAAAGTGGTTCAGCCATTGTGGAAATCAGTACAGCAGTTTAAAAAAAAATAAAAATAGAACTCCTATATTAGCTCTATTTGACCCAGAAATCCTACTTCTAGGTATATATCTGAAGGAATTGAAATCAGTATCCAGAGATACCCACATCCCCATGTTTATGGCAGCATTACTCACAATAGCCAAGACATAGAAACAACTTATGTGTT